GTACCTCTTTGCTGGTGATGAAGGTCATGAAGACGTCGTCGCTCACCGTCGTCGTGGCCACGTTGGGTCCGGGGGCGTCGAACTCGGAATTCCCGAACTTCTTCCAGTTCTGGGGGGGAGGAAAAGGGTGGGAAAAGGACCCCAAAAAATGGGGAAGAACCCAAAAAATCCCGGGAAAGGAGCACAAAAAACCCTGGGAAAGGAGCCCAAAAACCCCTGGGAAAAGGGGCCCAAAAATCCCAGGAAAAGGACCCAAAAACTCTGCGAAAAGGGCCCCAAAATCACAGGAAAAAGGCCCCAAAAATCCCAGGAAAAGGGCCCCAAAAAACCCTGGGAAAGGGTCCCAAAAAACCCTGGGAAAAGGGGCCCAAAAATCCCAGGAAAGGAGCCCAAAAAACCCTGGGAAAAGGGCCCCAAAAAATGGGAAAAGGACCCAAAAAAAGGGGAATATCTATGGGAAAAAGACCCCAAAATCCCAGGAAAAGGGCCCCAAAAGCATGGGAAAAGGACCCCAAAAATCCCAGGAAAAGGGGCCCAAAACCATGGGAAAAGGACCCCAAAAATCCCAGGAAAAGGGGCCCAAAACCATGGGAAAAGGACCCCAAAAATCGCAGGAAAAAGGCTCCAAAAAATCCTGGGAAAGGGCCCCAAAAACCCCGGGAAAAGGGTCCCAAAACCATGGGGAGAGGACCCCAAAAATCCCAGGAAAAGGGGCCCAAAAATCCTGGGAAAAGGGCCCCAAAAACCCAGGAAAAGGGCCCCAAAAAGTCCCGGGAAAAGGGGCCCAAAAGCCCCGGGAAAAGGGCCCCAAAAACTCTGGGGAAATGGCTCCAAAAATCCCAGGAAAATCTATGGGGAAAAGACCCCGAAATCCCGGGAAAGTGCCCCAAAAACCCCGGGAAAGAATCCCAAAAATCCCAGGAAAATCTATGGGAAAAAGACCCCAAAATCCTGGGAAAAGGGACCCAAAAAACCAGGAAAATATATGGGAAAAAAACCCCAAAAATCCCGGGAAAAGGGGCCCAAAAAATCCCAGGAAAAGGGTCCCAAAAATCCCAGGAAAGAGG